CCTGTCTTTCTGTCTTTTCTCTCCCCCCGCCGCACCCTTCTGCTTTTATGTATTAAAACCCCACAAAACAGAGTGGAAATATTTCTGAGGATTCCAAATTGCTCCCTGAGATTTTCCTCTTTGCCTTATTTTGTTATCGCTTTCTCATTGATTTGATAGTGGAATCTGTGGCTGAAACGACCCAGGACTAAAGAATTGTTTATTATGTGTATGGCAGTAGTCCTGGCGGTGTAAACCTGTTCCCCATTCTGCAAGAGTCAGGGCTTCTACCCCATAGACTCTTCCATCTAGCTAGACAACATATGCAAAGGGAGAGGAGAAGGGCTGAGTAAAAGTAAAGTGAGGGTCTGCAAAAAGTGTCATGCTCTCTCATTTCTCCCTCCCCTTGTGCTGCTTGTTGCTGGGCTTAACTTGTGTGCGTGAGAATTTTATTTTATGTGCCTAAGGGAGGTTGTAAAAACAAACTAGAAAAAAAACTTGAGCTCCCCCTTTCTTACAAATCGGAGTCTCTCCAGTAAAACTCCGCCAGATAAACCCGCAGCCCGTTGGTGTTGCATGTCTGGCAAGTTTGGGGTAAAACCTTTCTCCAGACACAGGGCTGCCGGCTCCAGGGCGAGGCTTTGCCAGCCAAGTACCAGGAGGACTTTCCCTCGGGCAGGAGAGGAAAAGCGGGCTGCCTGGTCCCCGAAAGCTACGTTTTTCGTCCCCACTCGCCAGTACGCGAGGGAAAGGTTCCAGTGCAGACGCACGATTGAGGGGGCGGGCTGCTCCTGCCTGCAGCCGCGCAGAGCTGGGGAATATCTGTCCCAAGGTTCCTCCACAAGGCGCGTGGGGACACAGGGAAATGGACTTTGGGTTCGCTTTAAGGCATTTATTTGCGAGTAAAAGTGGGGGGGGGGCAGGATGGGAGGGGCCGTGAGCGATCCCGGGCACCTGGCCCTGGGGTATCGTTTCCTTGGGAGCCTTTTCAATGGGATCAGAAATACCAGCTGAGGCTGGCCCGCTCGCTCTCCACTAGCAGTTCGAGTCCCGGCTCTCGCTCTTCTGCCTTGAGTGGCTTTGGCAAAGAGGGGCACCGGGCGGTTAGCGACAGACCCCGCGGTGTACTGAAGGCGGGGCACGGAGGGAGTGGATCTCTTTGGTCCCGGCCAAGAGAGGCTGAGTCTATCCCGTGTCCCTGCCTCCCCTGTAAGGGGACCAGAGGCTGATCTCAG